GGAAGGGAATTTTGAAGAGAGTGAGAAAGGTTATACATGGATCTCGAGAGCTGGGAACACGTGTTGATTAAAGCAATTTAATCACAAATTCATATGAATTAAATCTTCCCTATTTTGTGATTTTCTAGATGCTTTCAGGAAATAGGTGTGGAGAAGGCTTGGAATAAAATTCATCTAGTATTGGAAAATTTCTGGGTACATGTGGCAATGTAGACAAGGGTATCAGAAATGTCAATGGTTACAAATGTAAATTTTTACAAAGTTTGCTGCATATATGAATAAGTATTAAATATATCTATCCCTCTTACTCAGCAATTCTGTTGTATATGCTTGTGGGACTATATCTGTTGGATTAATTCCGAAAAGTGGGATTGTTGGGCTTAGGCAGGAAGGTAAAGGGATGCTGCCTTTTTGGAGAGAAATTTATCAATATTTATCAATGAAACTGAGGGGTGGATTTGATTAGGTGTTCCTGCCTTACTTGCTTTTGGTTGTTTGCTTTTCGTTATTTGTTTTCCTTTCCCCATGAAGCTGAAGGCTCGGGTAGTTGAAAAGAGTACAAGAGTTTATAGAAAACGTGATAGAGTTCCAATTTAGTAGATGTTTTCTATTTTGTGAATAAAGTTCATAGGTCACTGTATCAATGGGTTGTTTCAGTTGTTTTTCAGGAACTTGGATCAGCTCCTGTCCATTTCAAACCAGTTGAGACCACTGACCCTTGAACTGGACCTGCAGAGTATTGGAGAGGTGTCCTTTTGACATCAGAGGCCAAACACCTCCACCTTCAGGTTATGCTAACGTTACAATTTTCTGTACATATGTCCTATGAAATGCCCTGAACCCCGACTATGCTTGCTCAGAGCAAACCTATTACCTCATTTTCCCCCACCGCTAGTCATTTTCCCCATGCTTTAGACCAGTCCACTTCCCTAACCCATAAATACCACTAAGCCTCATTTTTGAGGAGGCAGATTTGAAGCTGTTCCTCCTGCCTGCCTGCTTGGTAGCTTTGCAAATAAATCTTTTCTCTTTGGCAAAACCTGAATTGCAGTGATTGATTTACCGTAGGTGGGCAGAATGGTCCTGGACCTGACCAGTAATATCAGCAACAAAAATATATATACAATTAACCCAGCAATTCCATATATTTGACTTTGTAATGATGCTATTTGTTTACTTTTTCTTCCTGCTTTGTTTGGGAGGTGGCCACTACCCCTTTTAGAATATAAGCTCCAGGCTGCTGGGAGCCAGGTTCATCATATTCGCCATGATATCCCTGGCATTTAGCAAAATATTGTCTTTTATTAGCTCTGGCCTCAGTAATATATACTTACTGAATGATTGAAATGGTAGAAGTGTAATTCCAATTCAGATTTTCTGACTGTAGTTCCCTTCATGTTTTAGCATGCCACACAGTAGAGGTATGGATAACAGTGATTCTTCTTTCTAGTTTTGTAGGAGGGAGACAAAAGGGAGGATGGATGTGAGAGGGCCTAGGACCCATGCCTAGAACACAAGAGATCCTCAAGTGCTGTTGATTTTGTTGTTATTCAGTGATTTCCTTAAAAACACTGACACTTCAATATCAGGTTCTGCAATATCCTGGTTTCCTTTCTTCTGGATAATTTGTGAACTCTCCCTAGAGAGCAGACTAGAAGGACATTTGGTACTTTTAGAAGGAAGAATATGTTATTTCCTTGTGAGACCAAACTCTATTCACAGGGACTAATTAAATGATGGCATCAATGTTGTTCTCACCCTTGAACAAGTCTTGTTCCAACGCTGCTTCAGCAAGAGATCCTGTGAGAGGAGCATTTGTCTCCCTTGGAGAGGTAGAAAGCATACAGTACCAATACTTATAATAATAATTTATAAGGTACTTATTTCTAATAGTACCTTATAAATAACTCTTTTCATTGGAGGGAGAGTTATTATTTCTGAGACTGTGCTGATGAGTATTCTTAGCAGAAAGCAGAGCTAACAAGCCAGCTAGCCCTTTTCTGAGGCTTTTCTCCTGAATGTTAGTGGCAGTGCCTTTTGACTTGTCAAAGCCTGAGGAGTCCAAGTGGAAGGTGGTGGCTATATTGGGAAGGGCACAGTCTGGGTGACGAGCCACCCAGGTTACAGCTGTGCTCTGTCACCCATCATTCATGTGACTTTAGATAAACTGCACTTCATCTTTCTGAGTCTCAGGTCAACCATTTACATGGAGGTGATTGAAAAAGATAGTTTGAAATGTCCTAGGATTCTTCAGCAAATGAAAGGGAAATAAGATGCTACTCTTGGAGAAAACAGGGTGAAGGGCTCATGAGATTGACTCTGTTATCTATTTTTTGTGACTTCTCATGAGCCTATATTATTTCAAAATAAAGAGTTGAAAAAAGAAAATGAAATATTAACTTTTTCAGATGTACAAAACTAAAAGAATTCATCACTAGCACATCTGCTCAAGAAAATATTGAAAGAAGTGCTCCAGGCAGAGGCAAAAATAATACCTAAACAAAGAAATAAAGAGCACCAAAAATTGTAAATATGCGGGTAAATATTAAAAAAAAATAAAAAAGGGAAATGGATGATGGAACCAATTCCCAGCTACTTGTAAATAAATAACCCCTCTTTGGGTTTTTACTTAGTACTATTCTAAGAGACTCTTAGCTTAGCTGAGCTTCTGTAATCAATAGCAACGTCCCAATCTGTGCCTTACCTCAATGTAAAAAGCAATTTGAATCTCACCAGGAATATAAAAACATGAAATAATGAAATTTGGGATCATACGCTTGAAGTTGGCCTTGATGACACTTTAAAAACCTCCTCCAGGTACACCATTCCATGAAGTTCAAAAGAAATCTAGAGACCTGTGGTTTGATGGTGTTCTCAGATCCAGTCAATGTAAGTTTTCTGTAATGCATTTTAATAATAAAATGCAAGAAAAAGCCAGGCTCGGTAGCTCATGCCTGTAATCCTAGCACTTTGGGAGGTCAAGGCAGACAAATCATGAGGTCAGGAGATGAAGACCATCCTGGCTAATGCAGCGAAATCCCATCTCTACTAAAAATACGAAAAATTAGCCGGGCATGGTGGCATGTGCCTATAGTTCCATCTACTCAGGAGGCTGAGGCAGGAGGATCGCTTGAACCTGGGAAGCGGAAATTACAGTGAGCTGAGATTGTACCACTGCACTCCAGCCTGGGCGACAGAGTGAGACTCCATCTCAAAAAAAAAAAAAAAAAAAAAAGCAAGAAAAGTGTAACCCAAATAAAAATGCAGTGGAATAAATTTACTAGAATTCTTATTATTTTCCACAAAATAATTTTATTTCTCATAGATAATTCAAACAGGAGACTTTCTTACTTTACTAATTTTTAACAAACACTTTATTTGACACAAATTGGAGTCACAGAGATGAATCAGCTTATCATTTTTATTTCTGGGCATATAAATCCATTATTTGGCCACAGTGGAGTATACTACTCCCACTGATTGCATTTTCTCTACCCCTGTTGTGTTCTGTATGAGGATCAGGATTAGAGAATTTTCATATTTATACCCATATTAATATCTGCTTAGTTTAGAATGCATACATTTAAGTCTTTGCCTCCTTACACCGTATGAAGGATTTATTGCCCAGGATATTGATGATGGTGATAGACTCCATGTATTGAATGTTTATCTGTACAAACGCTTGATATGAATTGTTTTTTATACCTCTCTGCAGCCTCAGGGGTTGCTGTACTCTTGTTTTACAGATAAGAGCATTGAGTCTTGAGAAGTTGTTCATAGTAACACAGCCAATAAAATGGCAGAGGAGGAATTCAAACCCAGATGTGTTTAAGTGATAGTGTGGTACCATGAAGCCCACAAACTCTTGTGGCAAGACTGCCTGGGTAAAAGCCCCAGTTCTGCCCCTCATTAGATGCATTTCTTACTTTCTTACTCTGAAAAATGAGGATGTAAACAGTACTCTACTTCATGGGAATAATGTGAGGATTGAACAAGCTGACATATGTAAGTGTTTGGATAGTGCTTGGCAAAGCCTAAATGCTACGTTTTTTTGGCCATAATTTTCTACCCTGAAAAAGTCCCCATCAGACTTATCACTTGCAGAGGCTATATTTACCGTCTTGCAATAAAGTGCAGAGAGAGAAAAAGGTAGCTGTTTCATGGTCAGTACACGAATTTTCTCTCCAGTGTTTCTATATGTCTAGGTACCTCTTTTTTCTTCTGACACTTGATGGTTTTCCTTAATTCTTATCATACTGAGCATTAAATCTTCAGCAAGTTGGAGGATTCAGCTACTTTAAGAAGATCTACGTTTCCAGGTAAAGGACAGGGTGGTGTAGAGGGTTAGTGACAGTTTTAAAATTTAAGATAGGAACAGGTGTCACCAAAGTGCCAGGGGTTCTGTCTAGGTCCTGTTGTTCACTGCATAGAAAGCCAATTACTGAGACAAGGAGCATTCCTGGGGAAAAAGGCTTTAATTGGATGTTAAGCTGAAGATAGATTCGTCTCAAAACCATCTCCTCAACCAACTGAAATTAGAGGTTTAAATAGCAGGGAGGAAATGTAACTGTGTGTGTGGGAAAACAGGAGTTAGGGACAGGTAAGGAAGAGGAGTTGGACAATAAGAAATAGGTGGTTGGTTAGGAAAACAGGGAGGGCTGAGGAAGCAATTATGATAATGTGGGGTCTGGTATCTTATTGTCTGGATGCGGGGATTTGGTTAGTTTAAGTTCTGTGATCCTTTTTGGGATATCCGAGGGTTGATGTTTTGAGGAGGGAATTCAGATAAGAATTTAAAATGTAAATTTTAAGTTTTAAGACCAGAAGAGCAAGTTTTATGTTTATCCACGACTATATTAGGTCTATTTCACAGACATTTCCTTAGTGTCATTAGGGGAATGAAGGGTGAGTCGGGATATTCTGTCATATGAGGTTATGATTGATAACTGGCTAAGACAAGGCATCTGTTCCCTCTGTCCTTGTAGCTTCTCTTATGCAGTTATAGGTAGATAATCATCTAATAGTACGTTTTGCTGATGCTCCCCATTTTTTAAAATTTTGTTTTTTACTTTGAGTCCTCCCTGTAGATTGCAGAGGGACTAGTAGTCCTTAACTAAAAGGATTACACCAAGGTCAGAGAAAGCCAAACTCAGAAGTATGTAAAATGTATAAAGCAAGCAAGAGGAGAAAGTTAAGTTGTCTTCCTAGGTGTGACGCCGTTGACAGCGTGCAGATGCAGTAAATGAGAAAGTAGAGAAGCAGAGAATTTGGTAAGTCTCCAGCCACAACCAAGTCAGTTTCTCCCAATCCTGCTCTAGTTAGTTTTCATCAATTTGTATTACCATTGGGAAAACAGACAAAAAGTATAACCAAGCTCACTGCAAACTCCAAGAAGAAAGCTTTAATTCAAAGTATGGACCATACATGCAGAGACTTCAGGAGGTCCTAATTCTTCTTCGTTTTCTCAAGTGCAATCTTATCTGTGCTGAAAGTGATCAGAGATTCATTCCAGTTTGAATTAGAAAATAAACGTCTGTTAAATGTTCAATCTCAGCAGCCACAAAAAAATGCAAATTTAGATAATTAAGTTATTGTTTTCATCTAATAATTGAGATATGTAGTGCCTCATGATGCTCAAGTTAACAGATACACATATGCTTACCATTTGTGGTCAGCAGATTAAATTTGTATAAGAATTTTGGAACAGAAGTGGGTTAGAAGGGATGAAGGGTATGTTAAAGGAAAACTTGCAATGTTTCCCCGCCATGCAATTCTCCTTGTCTTTATAGGCAATACTGCACCTGCATTCTCAGTGAACTTGGAATCTATGGAAATACCACACAATATCACAGAATTTTTCATGCTGGGACTCTCACAGAACTCAGAGGTACAAAGAGTTTTCTTTGTGATCTTTCTGATGATCTATGTGGTCACGGTTTGTGACAACATGCTCATTGTGGTCACTATCACCTCCAGCTCCACCCTGGCTTCCCCCATGTATTTTTTCCTGGCTAACCTATCTTTTATTGACACCTGCTATTCTTCTTCTATGGCTCCTAAACTCATTGCTGACTCCTTGTATGAGGGGAGAACCATCTCTTATGAGGCCTGCATGGCTCAGCTCTTTGGAGCTCATTTTCTGGGAGGTGTTGAGATCGTTCTGCTCACAGTGATGGCCTATGACCGCTATGTGGCCATCTGTAAGCCCCTGCATTATACCACCATCATGACCAGGCATCTCTGCGCCGTGCTGGTAGGGGTGGCTTGGCTTGGGGGCTTCCTGCATTCATTGATTCAGCTCCTCCTGGTCCTTTGGTTGCCCTTCTGTGGGCCCAATGTGATCAATCACTTTGTCTGTGACTTGTACCCTTTGCTGGAACTTGCCTGCACCAACACGTATGCCATCAGTCTGCTGGTGGTTGCCAACAGTGGTGTAATCTGCCTGTTGAACTTCCTCATGCTGGCTGCCTCCTACATTGTCATCCTGTACTCCTTGAGGTCCCACAGCGCAGATGCGAGATGCAAAGCCCTCTCCACCTGTGGAGCCCACTTCACTGTTGTTGCCTTGTTCTTTGTGCCCTGTATGTTTACTTATATGCATCCATTTTCTACTTTATCTATAGACAAAAGCATGGCATTGTTTTATGGTATTCTAACACCTATGTTGAATCCACTCATTTATACCCTGAGAAATGAAGAGGTAAAAAATGCCATGAGAAAGCTCTTTACATGGTAAGAAATTTCAGGTGGATAACGAGTGGTAAAGCAGGAAATAAAAACGACTTTAGTTTTGTAAGTGAAACAAACCAAGGCTTACTTTTTTGTATCATGTATCATCGTATTCCATCTTAAGCATTATTTCATCTTCACTGACTTTTTTTTTTCTTTGAGATGGAGTCTCACTTCATCACCCAGGCTGGCGTGTAGTGGCACAATGTCGGCTCATTGCAACCTCTGCCTCCCAGGTTCAAGTGATTCTTGTGCCACAGCTTCCCGAGTAGCTGGGATTACAGGCACCAGTCACCACGGCCAGCTAATTTTTGTATTTTTAGTAGAGATGGAGTTTTTCCCATGTTGGCCAGTCTGGTCTTGAACTCCTGACCTCAAGTGATCTGCCTACCTAGGCCTTCCAAAGTGCTGGGATTACAGGTGTGAGTCACCATGCCCAGCCTTCATTGACTTTTATTGTTTATTATTTTCACTTGAATTGCATAATTTAATTATAATATGAAATATACATGGTATGAATGATTATTATTCCTATTTTAGAAATCAAAAACTCTGTTTACTGATGTGGTTAGTCAATTAATCAAGATTATCTAGTTTTGAAATGCCTAAACCAAATTTGATTCATCATCTAGATCTTTAAGTAGCAATTTATGTTGACATCCTTTGAACCTGTGTGATAATTAACTGAGTTGTAGAAACACGAGGCAAAATGTTACTTAACACTCAGCCATATATAGCAGGCTCTTCCGCATCCAGGCCTGGCTTCTGTTTCTTCTCGTCACTCTGTGTGACATTAGCAATACCACTGCTACACTATAGCAGAGAGGTTAGGAGTTTGGCTCTGGAGACAGAGCAGTCTGAGTTTGACTCTTATTTTCTTTCTGTTTTACAAGTTCCGGGGTACATGTGTAGGATGTGCAGTTTTGGTATATAGGTAAACATGTGCCATGGTGGTTTGCTGCACCTATCAACCCCTCACCTAGCTATTAAGCCCAGCATGCATTAGCTCTTTTCTCTAATGCGCTCCCCTCCCAACCCTCCCCTGACAGGCTCCAGTGCGGGTTGTTCCGCTTCCTGCGTCCACCTGTTCTCGTTGTTCAGCTCCCGCTTATAAGTGAGAACAGGTGGTGTTTGGTTTTCTGTTCCTGCGTTAGTTTGCTGAGGATAATGGCTTCCAGCTCCATCCATGTCCCTGCAAAGGACATGATCTCGTTCATTTTTATGGCTGCATAGTATTGAATCTTATTTTCTATGCTTACTAGTGGCATGACCTTGAGTAAAGTGATGAGATTTCTACAAACCTCTGATGCCCGTCTTTAAAATAAAAGGAAAGATATTTTAGATTCCACATATAAGTGAGATTATGCAGTACCTGTCTATCTGTGTCTGACTTATTTCACTTAGCATAACGTCTTCCAGGTCTATCTACCTTGCTGCAAATGGAAGAATTCTTTCTTTTTTAAGCTGTCACCTATATACCTCAATAAAGCTGGCGAAATAAAAGGTAATGATAATACATGTCTGAAAGTGTTATTGGAACAATTATTAATCTCTCCAAAGTTCTTAATGGAGTTTCTGGCACATGGTAAAGTCTCAACATGTTTATTTGATATTACCATGTCTCCCTCAACAGTTTATAAAAAACTACTTTATAAAGAAATTTATAAAATTTAAAACCTTCTATAAAGAAATTGCTTTCTTTTGTTTTTCTGTCTTTTAGGCTTGAAATACATGCTGCCTTTAAAGTCATTTTTTTTGTCAAGTAATACAACACGGCATATATTTTTGTTTTTCCTAAGCCTTCTCATTTCAAACTCTGGAATCTAAAACGTAGGTCTGTTTTCATTCCATCTTTTTCCTGGTTTTACAAACTCTCACCATATCCCCTCCAAAGCTTCGCCTTTTAAGATTGCAGGCTCCCGTAATTTATATGAAACTTACCCTTGGTTCGACAAATAGTCTGTAATTCCTCCTATTACAACATATTCACTTTTTACGCTAAGCAAAAACAAACTAGAAATTCACGTGAAAAGAAATTTCTCTGTTATAAGAAGAAATATTCAAAATTAATCTCCAAGAGGCCATCATCCTAAGTGAACTAGCACAGGAATGAAAAACCAAACTGCACATTCTTACTTATAAATGGGAGCTAAACGCTCTATACACATGGCCACAAAGGAGGGGACAACGGACACCAGGGCCTAGCAGAGGGCGGAAGGTGGGAGAGGATCGAAAAACCACCATTGGGTATTATACTATGCTTAGTACCTGGGCAACGAAATGATCTGTACACCAAACCCCGTGACACCTATATAACAAACCTGCACACGTACCCCTGAATCTAAAATAAAAGTAAAAAAACACAAAAAGCACAAAATTAGTCTCCAAGAAATTAGTTTCTACCACATTTGGGAGACCATCAGGAAATATTTCTCATCTTATCCCCATAACTCTACGTCCAATAAAAACGACAATTGCAGAATTTTTCGCAAAAGAAATATTGCCTTCTTTCACTTTGTCAAATTTTGGGAAGCTAATTAAGAATAGCTAACTGTAAGTGAGACCTTGAATTCTGTACCCATTCATTTTAGATGATAAAAATATTATTTAATTAACTAAGAAATATGAAATCATGATGAGGATCACTAAAAAATAGCCTGTCTTTTGACCAGTTTGCTATGATTTTATCTCAAAAGGCTTTTTAGAAAAGCAAACTTATTTTAATTGTAATTTAAAGGTACCCTGATTTTCAGTATTAAAATATCAAATAGCAAAAGGACTAATATTAGTGCACCCCTATTTTTATTGTCCAAATTATGAAGAACAACATCCCCATTGAGTTATAAATATTGCTTAGTTTTGAAATATTTCAACTTGCTAAATTAAATACATGGGTAAATATTCTGAGTTGTTTTCTAGTAATTAAAAATTATTACTAATCTTGTTAATAAAGGTAGTTGTATCATTTATTTTAGAGACCCTATAAAATCTTTCCTTCATAATCCATATTTGTTTTAGAAAATTTAGAAAATAAGAAAATAAAGATGGTCAAATACATCCTCCAACACACGTGTATAAATCCACTTATAAGCCCACTAGAGGTAATCACTATCAACATTTTGGTAGATATTCTTCTAGTCCTTATCATTTTCTTCTCCTTTTCCTCCCCCTCTTTCTCCTCTTCCTCCCTTTTCGTCTCTATTTCCCTCTCCCTCTATATACAGTATATCATATGATATGTATATGACATAAATATATATGGTATGTTATATATGGGATAATATTTCCATACTGCTTTGTTTAATCTAATTTTCATATTTCAATTTATGCCTGTGATATGTATCTGCATAATGTAAATCTTTTCTGTGACATCAATACGGATGACTGTTTAGTATTTATTGTATAGCTTTGCTAAATTTATTTAACTGAACCCCTATTGATGAATTTAGATTGGTTCTAGTTTTTGCTATTATAAAGAACACTGCAACAGACATTCTTTTAACCAAATATTTTTTACACATCTAAGAGTGCATCTTGAGGGAAAAAAAACTTAGTAGAGTCAGAGTTAGTCAGGAACAAAAGTAGAAAAGAACATTCTCATTCTAGAGGAATAAGCTCTTTCATAAGTTAGAAGCAAGAAAACACAATAGGGTAGTCATCAATTACGGAGTATTTTGGAAGCAAGAGCTGAATCTTGGCATGTAAATGATTTCACGATGTGGTGAATGCAACAATAGTGTGTGAGCCAGGTATAGATGAGGAAAAGGTGTTCAACCCTGTTTGAGTGGATCAAGGAGTATTACATGCAAGAGGCTATATTTCACTAGATTTTGAAGTATGAGTAAAAGGAGTCGGATGAGTCAACTAAAAATGTGAGGACTGAAAAGTGAATTACAGTCACAGAAACAGCATGTGCTTTCAGGATACACTGTGTTGGCCTCAGTCCTGTAAGAAAATGTTAAGCCACTTGAAGCTTTTAACATTAAATTAGGTTTCTACTTTACCTGAGTATGAAAATAAATTCCAGATGAAAAAAATCCTAAACTCAAAGATTTCTTTTTAAAAATTAATAGAAGATATTATTTGAGACTATATTCATGATCTAGGCCAGAGAAAGCTTTCTGAAATGAAAGATAAAATTTGGATCAATAAATTTGGCCATATAATAAATAAATTACTTTTGAATGATAAGAAGACATTATAAACAAAGTCAAAAGATCAGTCACTGCCTGGGAGAAGGTATTTGCAACATGTATAGTAGCCAGAGAATCAGAATATAAAAAGCACAGCTACAGTATAAGAAGAAAAAATTCAATAACCAATAGACAAATAGGTAAATGTATAAACAAAAAATTTACTGTTTATACAAACATTTTAAATATGCTCAAATTTGGTGGTAATCAGGGAAATGCCAATTATAGTAACAATAAGAATCAATTTTTGGGTCAGGTGTGGTGGCTCACGCCTGTAATCCCAGCACTTTGTGAGGCGGAGGCAGGAGGATCATAAGGTCTGGAGTTCCAGACCAGCCTGACCAACATGGCGAAACCCCTTCTTTACTAAAAATATAAAAATTAGCCGGTTGTGGTGGCTTGTGCCTGTAGTCTCAGCTACTCAGGAGGCTGAGACAGGAGAATCGCTTGAACACGGGAGGCAGAGGTTGCAGTGAGCCGAGATTGTGCCACTGCACTCCAGCCTGGGTGACAGAGCGAGACTTTGTCTCAAGAAAACAAAAAACAAAAAACAAAAAGAATCAATTTTCACATATTATCTTGGCAAATACTAAAACACTTGACAATATCAAGTGTGGCCAGAGATGGGAAGTGGCAGCTCTGTCATACACTGATGGTGGCACAGTCAGCATGGAAAGCTCTTTGATGGTATTTGTTAAAAATAAGTACAAAACATTTGGTTCACTCATAGGTATCTACTTAGAGAACACCTAATTTAGGTATTTCTACTTAACACCTAAGAATGTCATGAATTCACACACGGAAACATGTACAAGGATTTTCACCATAGAATTGTTTGTAATAAAACATAGACCTAATCAACTAGGGGATTGCTTAAGCAACCATGGTGTATAATGGGTTACTGTACAGCAGTTAAAAGAAATGAATTGTATTTTTATTTGTTAATACAGATCAATCTGAAAAACAGTGTTGCGTGTAAAGTAAGTTGAAAATGATGTGTCTAGTATAACATTAATAGAAAAAAACCAATAATATTTGAACGCCAATGATATTTTCTTTGTGTGTGCATGTGTGAGTATGTATTTGTGTGTATGAGGGCAGATAATAGCATTTTTTTGTCATGAGAAGTAGAAGAGGGGTCTTTTATTTCTGCTTTTTATATCCTAATTTTATAAGCACAATATATCAGTACATGACTTTGTGTAATTAAAAATGGAAAGAAATCCCATTAAACAGTTATGTTAGACTTAAAAGTTGTTGCTTATTGATTGTAAGAAAACAGCACTTGTTTTTTCTCTTCTTTGTATTTTTATGTATTTTTTAAACCTATAAATAAGATAACTTAGATTTTTCTTTTTGTTTTTCACATGGAGTCTCACTCTTTCCCAGGCTGGAGTGCAGTGGCGTGATCTTGGCTCATGGCAACCTCCACCTCCCAGATTCAAGTGATTCTTCTGCCTCAGCCTCCCAAGTAGCTGGGACTACAGACACATGCCACCACACCTGGCTAATGTTTTATATTTTTAGTAGAGATGGGGTTTCACTATATTGGCCAGGATGCTCTCCATCTCGTAATCTCATGATCTGCCCGCCTCAGCCTCAGAAAGTGCTGGGATTACAAGCATGAGCAACCACGCCCAGACTAGATTTTTCTTTAGATAAAGTCAAAATAAAGATATTGTGCTGATGTTCCTCTCCTGGTCCTATGGATTCCCTATGCCCTTACTTACACTGCCAGTTATCTGACTATCCTCCTATTCAAGATCAGTCTTTCCATTGGTCCCCGTGACCCCCTCCCATGACATTACCTCCAAGACCTCTTCACTTCCCAATTATGTTTTTTCTTTTTTTTGGTCATAACTTCAGCTAATTTATACATTTGGTTAAGCCTCTGCCAACCGAAAAGGTGGAAACTACACTCTAGGGCTGAATTATTTATTTGTTCAGCTTACAAGTAATCTTAGGCAAATAAATTTATCTGATGCTCAGTTTCCTCCTCTATAAATAGACATTTTATTCCTTAGGTCATGCCTTTGTAAAAGGAAAGTATAAGAAGAACACAGTGTTGGGCAGGAGATAGTGTTACCGGGGGAAGGGAGGCACTCACTGTTCCCCCAGCGGATGTGTTTTTTTTCCAGGTTCTTGGGCTCTCACTGATCCAAGAATGGGGAGGAGACAGTGGAGGCCATGATATCGTTCAAGTAAATATCGGACCCAAAGAATTTTGCAGAAAAGCGATTTATTAGGCAGAGATTGAGAGAGAGGGAACAACCTCTATGTCGTGGGAAGGGATCCATAGGTGGAGTCAGCACAGGTGAGGGGTAGGGGGTCTTTTAATCTGGGAGTTACTCCCGCCCATTCAAGTTCTTCCAATGAGAGGAGTTCTTCTTCACTTCCTCTGGAGTGATTGACTTATTGACTTTGACATCTGATTGGTTGTTGGACCCATAGTCCTCCCATAGCTTTTTGCAGGCTCTCTAAA